TTTTAATAAATATAGGTATAGTAAGATGGAGCAGTAGACAGAATAGTTTCTCTTGCTTTATCMCCACCTCAACATTGTTTTGGCTACTCTAGTTGATTTATTTTACTTTACTGCATATTCTTTTAAAGTGTTCTGCATATTAATGATAGTCTGAGAAAAACAGATAAAACCATGAAGGATAAAAATATGTAATATACTACCAACACCCTAAAATACTACTCATGTAATTTGTATCCATCTATCCTTGAATGAAGTCCCAATTTCTCCATGAAAGGTTCTTTACTATTTTGGGTCATATCTAACTGTAATAGCTCATTAGCCACAAGTCGTTTTATCATTCTGTTAGATATTAATAAACATATTTAGTGTTCAATAGTATGTCAATTCATTAAGGGACAGGGTCCCTGTTTCAGACTGTTTTATGTTCATAAGTTACAATAAACACTGAATCAATTTATTGAAAATTATTTATCTAAATGGAGGTTACAACAGAGAGATCCTAGAAAATCTAGAAGAAGTGTAAAAAATAAGAGCTTCTTATTCTCCACTGTTCCCAGTACTAGGATTATTAGCTCAACAACATCAAGATTTTTAAATTTACTCACTTCAGAATTAAATTGTTAAAGAGTATGTACTTCTAGGTTCTTTTTCCCCTTCTTGTTTTAGTCAGCTGTTTCACCACTGTGACTAAAAGACCCGACCAGCACAATTATAGAGGGGGGAAAGTTTATTTTGGGTTTCACAGTTTCAGAGGTCCAGAGACAGCAAGCACCATTCCTCAGGGCTCAAGGTGAAGCAGGACATTATGGTGGAAGAGTGTGGCAGAGGGAAGCAGTTCACATAATGATCACAAGCAGAGATAGAGACTCCACTCTCCAAATACAAATATATACCCCATATCCCCTCCAATGAACCACTTCCTCCAAACACATCCCACCTGTCTCCACTCAGTTAATCCCATGAGGGACTAATTCACTGATTAGGTTAAGGATATAACCCAATCTTACTGTCTCACATATGGGCTTTTAGGGGACACCACATCTAAACCGTAACACTTTTCTTGATGGAGTGGCTTAGGTAAAGAAAAAAAAATAGTGAATGATGAGTTATGGTGATTGCCTTTTCATCTCCTGCTGTTTGCCAACACTACTACAACTCATTTAAATGTTAGGACTATTAAACATGTTTCACCCTAAACATACAGTTCAGATATACTCAACAGTAAATGGTGCAGGCTGCAATTGGGGTTCAGCAGTAGAGTGTTTGCCTAGCTCGTATGAGACACTGGGTTCAATACTCAGCATCACATAAAATAAATAAATAAATAAAAATATTATGTTCATCTACAACTAAAAAATAAAAATTAAAAAATTTAAAGTAAATGGCACAAAAGATTAGTGTATTGATTTAAGCAAATATTAGGAAATCAGAGTATAAAATGGGTCATTAAAATTGTAAAGAATTAAGCAGTCCGATTCCCTATGGTCCTAACACACCAACTACAGGGGGTGTTTGTGCCCTTTTGGCTACCTTACTGAGAGTATTTTCCTCTTAATTATCAATGCTTTGCTGACAAGACTTCAACAGAGTATGGTGTACAGTATGTAAAATAAGATAATGTTTATATTTTAGCTCTAATTTACAATAGCCATAACCTGCCTAACCCATGCATCAAGTCCTTCCTCCTTTGCTAAAACAGATGTACAGTGTGTATGTGTGTGCACTCGCTGTGCACATGTATAAAGAGAAAGAGATATGTCCTCTCCCCAAAAGATTATTTTTCCATTGACTGCCTATGAGTTTAGACTGTTAATAATTTGCAACATACAATCATGATAACTATAGTAACWTTACATGCAAATGAATTCCTTCTTCTCTTGCAAAATAACAATTTATATATGCTACCATAACAACTTTGCTAAAATTTTGTTCCTCTTTGATTCTTTCCCTATACTGTGAGACTACTAGACAGGGAAAGTTATAATCAGGGAAGCTGCAAAGCYATTAGACACACCTTTCATCTGGTGTGTCTCTAATGTTCTCAGAAGAGATCTTTGTCAAGTCCTCTTCTGATCCTGTGGCAATTAAGTAAATGAACTGCAATTCTCCAAAAATACACATTAAATAAACTTCTTTTCAGCTCTGTCCATTCCACTTCAATGCTTTATTAAAGGGAATACAATACTCACAATGTACTTACTATACTACTACAAACCCCATCATGGACACAACCATTCCCACCACACACACACACACACACACACATAGAGAGAAAGAGAGAGAGAGAGAGAGAGAGAGAGAGAGAGAGAGAGAGAGAGAGAAACTCTCTTCTCCATTAGTAAAAATTAAGAAACCTCAATGATTCTAGTGTCATAAGAACATGGAGTAACTTGAACTCAGACACTGCTTGTGACAGTGTAAACTGGTATAACCACTTTAGAAAACAATTTGATATTATCTTCTAAAGATGAACATGTGCACACCATAATTATACTCCTATCTATACCCTCAAGACATGTACAACAAGACATACATATTCATAGCAGCCTTTTTCATAACACCAAAAAAATGCAAACATCCCAATGCTGATTAAAAGAAGACTGTGGTATATTCACCCAATGGAATTTCACACACCAGTGAAAAATAAATGAAATACAGTTAAATATACAACATGAATGAGTCTCAGAAACAGTAATGAATTTTAAAAGTTATAGAAAACCATAAGTAATTAACTATCATATTTGAAAATTTCAAAGAATATGGGCAAAATTAAACATGCTATTGTTTAGAGAAATACCTATGTAACTTTAAGAAAAAAATAGTAGATAGAGATCAGAGAGAGACTGGAAAATACACATGTATCATCAACAGAATTGGCAAAGTTATAGTTATTAAGTTGGATAGTAGACTTGTTAGTTTCATTATTAAGCTTTAAACCATATGCATACATACATCTGTGTGTGTGTGTGTGTGTGTGTGTGTGTGTGTGTTCTGAGTGTTTATCACCTACAATCTCTGGAGAAGTAACATTCCAGCTACCAGATAAGTTTTAGTGCAATCATAAGGTGACATTCCTGATAATTAGGAACAATGTTAAGAAATACAATCACTTGAAGCCAGGAGCAGCGGCATAACCAGTAATCCCAGTGACTCAGGTGGCTGAGGCAGGAGGATCACAAGTTCAAAGCCAGCATCAACAACTTAGTGAGGCCCTAAGAAACCTTAGCAAGACCCTGTCTCAAAAATTTAAAAAGGCCAGGTAAGTGGCTCAGTACCAAAAGAAAAGAAATACAATCACTTTATTATGCTATTTGGCAACTTTTATAGTAAGAAAGTGACAGGTGTTTCTCATAAAATATTAAGCAAGGGAGTGGGCAAGGGAAGTGGGTGAAGCTAAAAAAAGCAACAGGAGAGAGACTTATAGTAATGAAAGTGTATCTTAATTATATTAGTCTGTATCTTGATTGTATCAATGTCAATATCCTGCTTGTAGAATTATACTACAGTTGCACTAGACATTACCATTTATTAAACTAAAGGAGGGGCTATGCTGGCATTCTAGGGTGGCACCCCCAGCCTCTACTTGCCCGCATTTGTRATAACCAAAAGTTTTGTCATAGATTGTCAAATGCCCCCTTTGAGGCTAAATTGAGAACCACTGTTTCAGTCAGGAAAGCCAAGAAGAGTTATGGAAATAATCCTGATTGAAGGACACTGAAGAGACATCACAACTAAATGCAATACTTGACCCTAATCTGGATCCTGTATTGGAGCATAAAGAATGTTAAAAAGACATCATTAGGTCAATTTTTAAAAATGAAATATAAACTGTAGATTAAATAAAAGTATTTTATAAATATTAAGTGTACCCTGGCTGAGGCTGTGGCTCAGTGGAAGAGAGCTCACCTAGCACATGAGAGGCACTGGGTTGAATCCTCAGCACCCCATAAAAATCAATAAATAAAATAAAGATATCTACAACAAAAACAAATATTTAAAAAATATTAAATGTACCCCAATTCACAACTACTGTAGTTATATAAAAGAATTATCTCTAAGCTTAGGAAATAGACACTTGAGTTTTTAGGGGGTAAAGGACCATGATATATGCAATCTAACTTCAAATGATTCAGAAAAAATAAATACACACACACACACACACACACACAATGAGTAGTGTGTGTGGTAGGTGAATCTAATAAATGGTCATACAAGTATGTTCTTTGTACTATTTTCATTCTTGCAACTTTCTCCTTCGTTTGAAATTAATTACAAATCAAAAGACGTGGGTTGTTGGGCTGGGGGTGTAGCTCAGCAATACAGCACTTATGCATTATCACCAGTACCCCGCGCGCGCGCGCACACACATGGTACAGGCTGTTTTTAAGTGGGGAAAAAAAACATGTTTAAAAAAAAAAAAAACTAGTGATAGTTTTCACAGTAACAGTCCAGCATGAGTGATAAAAACCCCAAGAAGTATATGACTACAGACTGAATAAATACGTATTCAAGCCTGGACATTCGATGGAAAGAAGTGTCTATTTCCAGTCTTTCTCTGTCCCTCCCTACTCTTTCTGGGGGTGACCCAATGAAGAGTGCGGAACTGAAAATTAATCTATCCCACTTTTAAAAGGCTATTTCTAGAAAGTGACTCAATAAATTACATGCATGCTCAATTTCTCCACAAATCACTGTAGCATCTTCTCCATCAACAACTAAAACAGCAAAATCGCAAATAACATAACAAGAGTTTCTCATAAGAAAACCATTCATCTACTCAGCTGGGTTAATGGAGAAAGAATGTTAAAGTGGACAAAAAGAAAGACCGTTTATTTTAAAAGAAAGAAAGAAAGAAGAAATTAAGTAATGTCTAGAAGAGCCGAGAGAAAGAAAAGATAAAGACTGGCAGGAAGCAGCCTCAGCGAGTTAGGAAGGGTGTTTGGCCAAGAAACAGAACTTGAATGGGTGCGCGCGGGGTCAGCGGGACTGGGGGTCCTCACCTGGCAGTGGTAAGCAGAGGGTGCTGAGTTCCCACCAGCTTCCGCACCTGCATTGCGATGTTGCTGAGCTCGTCGCTCAGCAGGCAGCGGAGGCTCATGAAGGATGTGGGATAGCCCACGATCTTCTCAGCCTCTGACACCACCTGGTTCCAGTGGGCTGGGGACCTGGAGGACTGACCACGCCAGGGTCCCACCGGGGAGATAGTGTCGAGGGATGGGAACCGCCACAGGCGACGTGGGGGGCCCAAGGCCCCCAGATAACCCGGAAAGCGCAACAACAGACGTTGAAGGTTCATGGTTAGAGTCTGGAACAGTTAGGGACCTSGGGGGTGTCCGGAGGTGGCGGGGAAAACCAAGCAGGGGCTGAGGAGGAACTTCCAGGAACTAAAAAAAAAATCGGTGGCTCCCGTCTCTCAAAGGAGAGTGGTTTCCTTAGAGCCGTGACCAGAAACGACCTTTGCTGCTTTCTACAGCTCSAGTAGGATAGTCAGCAGCCCCGGCTCAAAACTGACAGCGGCTACCGGGAGCAGAAACCACAACCAAAGTCTATGTGGGGGGCGCCATATTGGAGGCGTGGAATGCGGCCTGCCGTAAAGATGGAGGCGGGCTCTTGAGGAGCAAAGAATGTCCCCTACTTTACGGCGCAGCCGGGAACGCCCCCATAGGCGGAGTTTTGGAAGCGAKTCCTGGGAGGCCGCGGGTGGAATGAAAACCTCTCCTCTCCTTGGCTTASGAGGATCCCGTGGCAGGGATTGTGTGTGTGCACAGAGAGGTCCCCCGGCGCCTCGAATCTGGGTCCAGTCGGGATTYATCAGGGCGTCCCGGCGCCCAGCACCGAGTGGGCATGTATGTTTGTCCTGAGAGTCGGGTGTCTGTCTAGTAGTGTCTACCCCTGCCCCGTCTCGCCCGCAAGGAAGAGTGTCAGGCCCGGGCGCCGGCTCCTCCCGAAGCCGTTGGTTGCTGTCCGCCGCCAGCCCTTGGTAGTGGCAGTGGAGCGGAGTGAGGGCAGCCTGGCTGCCTGTACCTCAGGCTGCCTTGGCTCTCCCGGYGGAAGGCCAAGTCCGGCCGTAGGACTCCGCCCACGTGTCCTCTACGCCCTACCAGACTGAAAGTGGCGTAGCGCAGCGAAAAGGGTACCTTTCCCTTGGGACGTCCTCTGAGAGTTGTTGGAATCACCGGCCTCATCTCTGCGTCCGTTTCCGCTGATGTGCAGTCCAGGCAGAATCAGCTGTGCCTCTTTCGCACGGCGCAGAGAGGTTGGAATGAAACRTTGCCTCCTCCCAGCTTTCACCTCTGTCGTTTCCTCTTCATTCCTAGCCTYGGAACTCCACGCTCCATCCAGGGTTCAAACCGTATCGCTGGACCGAGTGCTTTTCACGTATCAGCACAAAACAGCCTCGTTAAGTAGATATTAGTATTCTTCGTGTTTCATAAGAAGAAACTCAGGCACAGCTAAATTGTGTTAGGTTTACAAACATGCTAGGCAGAATATGGACCCAGACAGTCTATTTCTTTTTTAATACATACTCTTAACCTTACTCTTATGTAAAAGACTGCAATCCATTTTTTCCTCATCATTGTTGATGGAAAGTTGTCAATGTGAATATTGTTTTAGTAGTGCTACCTATTATTTTCTTTAGTATGTGCAACATTTTACCCTCTTCCTCATCACCCAAAACAASTGTTAAACCCTTATTGCATTACCTAGTTTTTACACTCATATATTTATAGCTTCTAAAATTCTCTTCAGCTTTAAATCTTCCCAAATTCATGGTTAGTATTTTTTAAATTTGAACCATGCATAGATTTTTGGGCTACATATACAAATTGGAACTTAGAAAAATGTCAAATTAAGAGGAATTGTTCAGTTTGTAAACAAGATACTTTACAAAAAGTTTGAGTCCTTTTTAATAACAAATTTCCCTTATGATTCAAATTTACAAAAATTTAATTTAGGTATGACTTTTTAGGGGTACAGATTATTTAAAGTGGATTATGCTGAAAGATGTCAAAAACAGTTTCTGTCCTCAAAATAAGTGAAGTATGCTGAAGTTTGAAAATAATTCCTGTGAAAGAGATAAACTCCTGGCAATAAAATACAAGTCTGCTGCTAGATGAAAATAAATGTGGTGATTGAGATACTGGACCATTTCAAAAGGTTCCAAGGCCTGAGCTGGGTTATCCAAGGTGAAAAAAGTCATGAAAACCCAAAGAAAGATAAAGACTGAATGTGATATACTGTGCACTCCAGGCTGTTTCTTCAGAATCATGGTACCTTAAGAGCAACTTTTCATGCAATTTCCTTAATACCAATTCACAGCATGTACTTTAACTTCTCCACAGAAACCAAGGGCATTATTTTCTGGTCATACTCTATTAACCAAGTTTTTGATTATTCATGGGACTTTTGGTCCCATTTACTTTAATAATCAGCACTTTCTTTTATACTTACAGTTAAAATGTTGCATTATGATCATCAGGGTTTAGAAGGTCAAAATGTATTTGTTCTTTAATCTTCCAGGTAAATATATAATTCCTTCAAATCTTTATGATTAAAGAGATTTCCAAATTGCTAGTGACTTTAGGAGGAGCAGGGGGACAGTATCTGGGATTCTTCCCTTCCTCTGCCATTGATAATAGCTACTTTAAAGATGTCTGTGGGCTAGGATTGTGGCTCAGCAGTAGAGCGCTCATCTAGCATGTGCCAAGCCCAGGGTTCAATCCTCAGCACCACATAAAAATAGATAGAGTGAAGATATTATATCCAACTACTTCTAAAAAATAAATGTTTTTAAAAAGATGTCTGTGAATGTGTGCATGAAGTAGGAATACAGCAGGGTTTCTTTTTTAAATAACTTTATTTTAATTTTTATGTGGTGCTGAAGATTGAACCCAGTGCCTCACACATGCTAGGCAAGCCCTCTACCACTGAGCCACAACCCTAGCCCCCCCAGCAGGGTTTCCTGACCTAAGTATGTTTGATATTTTGGACCAGATTATTCTTTATTTGGTGTGGGGAGGGATGTTCTTATTATTGTATAACAGCATCATTGACCTCTCTGCACTGGTTTCCAGAAGTATCCCTTCAAAATTGTGATAACCAAAAATCCTCCAAACATTGCCAAATATCTATCACCTGGGGCAGGGCAAAATAGCCCACTGGAAAATGGAGACGCTAGAAGAAAAAACAATGTTCAATGATAGAATGCAAATCTAGCATGCATAAAGCCCTAGGTTCAATCTCCAGCAGAAACAGAGGAAGGGAAGRAGGGAAAAAGTGAGGGAGAAAAGAAAAAATGTCCATTCATAACATTTTCTCCTACAAAGCATCAAAAGAAGAGAACCTGAGARTTAGCAGCTCTGCAAGATTATGGTCATTCCATATCCAGCCATACATATCAACACTCTTGATATTGATATTCTTCTAGAGAAAGTAATCTGACAAAAGGTGGTYATGGTTCCTCCTCTGCTTTGCTGAGGAATCTTTCTCAATAAGTGGATTTCACTTACCTGCCTCTTTGTATTCTGTTGACTTTAGAAAGAAGTGAGGTCATATTTGATGTTGACTGGAAACCCAGACCAACCTATGGAAATACAAGGTCTTAACAAGGATAGTGATACTGTGATTGGCCACTTACTTGGTTGGTGGGCTGTAAGGAACAGGGATGGTACATATTGCCATTGAGAAAGAAAAAATGGTACACAGCACCCATGGAAAGGAACTTGATAATCACTAACAAAATTACCCATCATTTTGCCTTTTTAAATTTTTTTTAGTTGCAGTTGGACACAATACCTTTATTTTATTTTTATGTGGTGCTGAGGATCGAACCCAGGGCCTCGCCTGCGCTAGGCTGCACTTTACCGCTGAGACACAACTCCAGCCCCTCATTTTGCCTTTTAACCCAGAAATCCCAAATGTAGGCAGCTGTTCCAAAATGCAAAATGACTTATGCACAATGTTATTCATTGTATTATTATTTGTAATAGCAACAGACTGGGAACAATCCAAATAACCACAACTACTAGACTAGTGGAATAAACTGTGGTGAATCCACATAATGAAACACACTATGCAACTGTGAAAAAATAAGGGCCATCTCTTTACATGATGTATAGTGGTCTGCAGGATATACAGTAGTTTTTTAAAAATTCAGAAAGTATGGTATGCTTTTTTGGTGAGATAGTTGAACTCTGAATATATATTTACATATATTTGGGGCAGGAAGAACCAGRGGAGATCAACATGGAAGCTTGATCACTCTGAATAAACCAGACCTATATAGTTTTGATTTTTTAGGATCATATGTATGTATGTATATATCATGTTCAAAATAATTTAAAATCCAAAAGAAAACTGCAGTTTCTAAAAATTGAAAATAAACTGAAGCAAATGATCTAACTGTATATTACGTTGGTGGTAAAACCACATCAAGTAAATGATAAAAAACAGTGTTTTCACAGTACATTCACAATGGAATATATTCTTAGGATAAATCTTAAGTTTTATTCAATAGTWTTATTGCTAGTAGAAATGTACAGGCTATTTATTATTTTCAAACTATTAGTGTATATTATAGGTACACAATATAAGGCTTATTAGGAACAATGATTCCATAATAGAATATATGTAATATTAAATTTGAATTAGAAATAGTATGATCTCAGGATCTTATTCTTTTCCAAAATCTTTCTTTGTATAGCCATTATGGAAATCAGTATGGTGATTCCTCAAAAAACTAAAAATAGAACTATCATATGATCTGCATACACCACTCCTTGATATTTATCCAGAAGAATTAAAGTTAGCACACTGTAGATATACATAAGTATTCAAATTTACTATGGCACAACTCATACTAGCCAAGTTATAAAATCAGCCTAGGTGTCTGACAACACATGAATGGATAAAGAAAATGTGGTATAGATACACATGGAATATTATTCAGCCATAAAGAAGAATGAAATTGTACCATGTGCAGAAAAATGAATGGAACTAGAGACCATTGTGTTAAGCAAAGTAAGTCAAGCTCATAAAAACAAGTACCATATTTTTCTCTCATATGTAGAAGCTAGAAGCAGGGGAAAAGACATCATGAATAAGGAAGACCATTAGAGGAAGAGAATCAGAGGAAGGAGAAGAGAAGGGTCAAGGGAAATATTGTTTTAYGCATGTACAAATATGCCAACAATGAAACCCTCTATTCTGTATAATTAATATGCACCAATAAAAATGCTTCTTATTAACAAGGAAAATTTTACATTCATTTTGTAAAAAGAAGCATTTGCTTGTTTTGTCACTTGAAAAGACCCACAGGTAATAACAATTTTATAGTAATAAGAATCTTTAGCAACAACAAAAAAACACACTTTTTTTGTGTGGTACTGAGGATTGAAACCATGATCACTGAGCTACAGACCTTCTATTTTTTATTTTAAGATGGGATTTTGCCAAGTTGCTAAAACTGGCCTCAAAACTTGTGATCCTCCTGCCTCAGCTTCCCAAGGAGCTGGGATTACAGGCATGCACCACCACATCYGACTCACTGTACTTTTAATACATCATTTCCTATGCAAAGGAATGAGTATTTTTGGAAGAATGGCAGAAAATTCAGGCTATAAAGAGCCTGGAATATCTTGTACCAGAAATCAAGAAAGCTATTAAAATCTAAAGGGACAGGTCAAAGGCACAAAGGAGTCAGCATAAAGGAGTTCCACTGGATGGAAGAGGATGATCTGAGCATCAAAATAATAAAAAATTTAAAAATAGAGCATAAGAACTACAACTTGTTGAAATTCATTGATTACATATAAGCCCATGTGTTTATTATTAGATGTAACTAGAGCAACACTCTGAATATTTTCAATGTAATAAAAGAACTGAGCATTTATTCTGCCTTTCCTGCATGAATTATGTTTAGTGGTGTCTTAGCCTGGCTTCCCCCTTGAAAGCTGAACTTGAGACAAGAGCTTACTTTTAGGTAGTTGATTTTGGACAGTGATCTCAGGAAACAGCAGTGGATGAGTAGGGAAGGTGAAACAAGGAAAGTCAATACCAGGGTGTTCTCAAATTAGTCATTACTGTA